CTAAGAGGAAGAACATGAGTTAGTGGGGAGGAAGTTTCCAGTCTTATGTGCCTATTTGCCTGTGTGAATCCCACTTACTAAAACCATGACAGCAGAGCACAACTGCCGAGGCAACTGAGTGGAGACACAACGCAAAGTTATGCTTAAGGCTGGTATTGTGCAGCTGGGACCGCAGAACCAGGCCAGTGGCAAACTGATAGCACCCACTACTAGTGTGTCACTCTAATGAAGGGTATATGCAAGTGGGTTAGGAGCTGCCACAATGGTAGAAAGCAAAAGACTTAAAGCAAGGAGACAGACGTGAGGAGTGTCAGCTTCAGGAAATACCACCTTCCTCTTGGGGTGCATTTTTTGGTGGAAAGAATTCCATCTCAGGAGGAAATATGAACAAAGCAAACATTCCAAAGGCTCTCCAGACTTGATTTCATTACTCATGCCAGTTCTGAGGTGCGAAAAGAGCCTGCCTTCCCTCCCTGGCTGCCTAATCTGCTCTCCATTGGCCATTATATTTTTTTTGTTTGTTTAAGTGCAGAAATCTTGGGCAAGGCCACTACATTGTAACCATTCCTGGTCTCCTTGGCCAAGTGTACTACTGGTTTTTACTTCAACTTTAGGCTGGCCACCTTTCCCACAATCTGATCATAATCTGCAGACAAATTAGATTGCTAAAAAAAGAAAAAAAACTATGCTAGACTTAGTGGCTCATGCCTGTAATCCCAACACTTTGGGAGGCCGAGGCGGGCAGATCGCTTGAGGTTAGGAGATTGAGACCAGCCTGGCCAACATAGTGAAACCCCGTCTCTACTAAAAACACAAAAATTAGTTGGACATTGTGGCACACGCCTATAATCCCAGCTACTTGGGAGGCTGAGGCAGGAGAATCACTTGAACCCTGGAGTTGGGGATTTCAGTGCACCGCACTCCAGCCTGGGTGACAGAGCAAGACTCCATCTCAAAAAGAAAAAAAAAAAAAGGAAAAGAAAAAGAAAAAAACTGGAAGAAAAGTCTACTTCACGGCCGGGGGCGGTGGCTCAAGCCTGTAATCCCAGCACTTTGGGAGGCCGAGACGGGCGGATCATGAGGTCAGGAGATGGAGACCATCCTGGCTAAGACGGTGAAACCCCTTCTCTACTAAAAAATACAAAAAACTAGCCAGGCGAGGTGGCGGGTGCCTGTAGTCCCAGCTACTCAGGAGGCTGAGGCAGGAGAATGGCATGAACCCGGGAGGCGGAGCTTGCAGTGAGCTGAGATCCGGCCACTGCACTCCAGCCCAGGTGACAGAGCGAGACTCCGTCTCAAAAAAAAAAAAAAAAGGAAAAGTCTACTTCAATTCTAGTCCTGGCTCTGACATTATATAGTGTGACTTTAGGTAAATCTGGATTTTAGTTTAAGAAATAAAATGGGCCAGGCACGGTGGTTCACGCCTGTAATCCCAGCACTTTGGGAGGCCGAGGTGGGCAGATCACGAGGTTAGGAGATCGAGATCATCCTGGCTAACACGGTGAAACGCTGTCTCTACTAAAAATACAAAAAATTAGCCGGGCATAGTGGCCAGCGCCTGTAGTCCCAGCTACTCGGGAGGCTGAGGCAGGAGAAGGGTATGAACCTGGGAGGCGGAGCTTGCAGTGAGCTGAGATCGCGCCACTGCACTCCAGCCTGGGTGACAGAGCGAGACTCCATCTTAAAATTAAAAAAAAAAAAAAAAAAAAAAAAACTTTTATTTTTATTTTATTTATTTATTTATTTATTTTGAGACAGGATCTATGTCACCCAGGCTGGAGTACAGTGGCACAATCATGGCTCACTGCAGCCTGGACCACCTGGGTTCAAGTGATCCACATCACTTCCCAAGTAGTTAGGACCACAGGTTTGTGCCGCTATGGCGAGATAATTCAGACAATTGTTTTGTATTTCTTTTTTTTTTTTTTTTGGAGACAGAGTTTTACTCTGTCACCCAGGCTGGAGTGCAATGGCGCCATCTCAGCTACTGCAACCTCCGCCTCCTGGGATCAAACGATTCTCCTGCCTCAGCCTCCCGAGCAGCTGGGATTACAGACTCCCACTACCATGCCCGGCTAATTTTTTTTAAATTTTTAGTAGCGACAGGGTTTCACCATCCTGGCCTGGCTGGTCTCGAACCCCTGGCCTGTCAAATAAGGAAACAAAGGCATAAGGCCAGCACAGTGGCTCACGCCTGTAATCCCAGCACTTTAGGAGGCCAAGGCAGGTGGATCACCTGAGGTCAGGAGTTCGAGACCAGCCTGGCCAACATGGTGAAGCCCCCATCTCTACTAAAAATACAAAAAAAATTAGCTGGACGTGGTGGCGGGTGCCTGTAATCCCAGCTACTCAGGAGGCTGAAGCAAGAGAATCACTTGAACCCAGAAGGTGGAGGTTGCAGTGAGCTGAGATCATGTCACTGCACTCCAGCCTGGACAACAGAGCAAGACACTATCTCAAAAGAAAGAAAAAAAAAAAAAAACGCCAGGCACGGTGGCTCATGCCTTTAATCCCAGCACTTTGGGAGGCCAAGGTGGGCGGATCACTTGAGGTCAGGAGTTTGAGATCAGACTGACCAACATGGAGAAACCCCATCTCCACTAAAAATACAAAATTTGCCACGTGTGGTGGCACATGCCTGTAATGCCAGCTACTCGAGAGGCTGAGGCAGAAGAATTTCTTGAGCCCAGGAGGTGGAGGATACAGTGAGCCAAGATCGTGCCATTGCACTCCAGCCTGGACAACAAGAGTGAAACTCCATCTCAAAAAAAAAAAAAAAAGGCCATCCACTGACTGGGCACGGTTGCTCACGCCTGTAATCCCAGCACTTTGGGAGGCCAACGTGGGTGGATCACTTGAGGTCAGGAGTTTGAGACCAGCCTGGCCAACATGGTGAAACCCTGTCTCTACTAAAAATACAAAAATTAGACAGACGTGGTGGCGCATGCCTGTAATCCCAGCTATTTGGGAGGCTGAGGCAGGAGAATCGCTTGGTTGCAGTAAGCCGATATCGTGTCATTGCACTCCAGCCTGGGCAACAAGAGTGAAACTCAGTCTCAAAAAAAAATGTATGAAGTGTTCAGAATAGGCAGAAACAGAGTGATTAGTTGTCACCAGGGGCCAACAGATGATAATTGCAGTGGTGGGAAACAGGAAATGACTGTTAATGGGCCCAAAATGTCTTCTTGGGATGATAAAAATGTTCTAGAATTAGATAGTAGTGATCAAAACACACCTTTGTGAGCGCACCAAAAAAAAGTCAATTGTACATTTTTAAAGAGTATACTTTATGTTGTATAAATTATTATTTCAAAATTATTATTTTTAAAAGGGAAAAAGCAATGGCAGATTCTGGAACATTTAGTGTCTTAAAGAGCTACATGTCTAGGGCCGGGCGCAGTGGCTCACGCCTGTAATCCCAGCACTCTGGGAGGCTGAAGGCGGGCGGATCACGAGGTCAGGAGATCGAGACCATCCTGGCTAACATGGTGAAACCCCGTCTCTACTAAAAATGCAAAAAATTAGCCGGGCGTGGTGGCGGGCGCCTGTAGTCCCAGCTACTTGGGAGGCTGAGGCAGGAGAATGGCGGGAACCCGGGAGGTGGAGCTTGCAGTGAGCCGAGATGGCGCCACTGCACTCCAGCCTGGGCGACAGAGCAAGACTGTCTCAAAAAAAAAAAAAAAAAAAAAAAGCTACATGTCTAGAATTTGAAAACCGTAATATTTCAAACACTACAGCTTAATGTACGTTAAAAAATTAGCTTTTGCCGGGCGTGGTGGCTCACGCTTGTAATCCTAGCACTTTGGGAGGCCGAGGCGGGCGGATCACAAGGTCAGGAGATCAAGACCATCCTGGCTAACACGGTGAAACCCCGTCTCTACTAAAAATACAAAAATGAGCCGGGCATGGTGGCGGGTGCCTGTAGTCCCAGCTACTCGGGAGGCTGAGGCAGGAGAATGGCGTGAACCTGGGAGGCGGAGATTGCAGTGAGCGGAGATCGCACCACTGCCCTCCAGCCTGGACCACAGAGCGAGACTCCGTCTCAAAAAAAAAAAAAAAAAAAAATCAGCTTTGGGGCCGGGCTCGGTGGCTCATGCCTGTTATCCCAGTACTTTGGGAGGCTGAGGCAGGTGGATCACTTGAGGTCAGGAGTTGAAACCAGCCTGGCCACCATGGTGAAACCCCGTCTCTACTGAAAATACAAAAATTAGCTGGGTATGGTGGTGGGCGCCTGTAGTCCCAGCTACTCGGGAGGCTGAGACAGGAGAATTGCTTGAACCCGGGAGGCAGAGGTTGCAGTGAGCCAAGATCATGCCACTGCACTCTAGTCTGGGCTACAGAATGAGACTCCATCTCAAAACAAACAAACAAACAAAAAAAAACGCCAGGGCATGGTGGTTCATGCCTGTAATCCCAGCACTTTGGGAGGCCAAGGCAGGCAGATCTCTTGAGGTCAGGAGTTTGAGACCAGCTTGGCCAATATGGTAAAACCACATCTCTACCAAAACTATAAAAAATTAGCCAGGTGTGGTGTGGTACATGCCTGTAATCTCAGTTACTTGGGAGGCTGAGGCAGGAGAATCACTTGAACCCGGGAGGCGGAGGTTGCAATGAGCTGAGATCGTAACACTGCACTCCAGCCTGGGCAACAGAGCGAGACTCTGTCTCAAAAAAAAAAAAAGTTTTGGCCGGGTGTGGTAGCTCATGCCTATAATCTCAGCACTTTGGGTGGCTGAGGTGGGTGGATGGCTTGAGTTCAGGACTTCGAGACCAGCTTGGGTGACAAAGTGAGACCCTGTCTGTACAAAAAATACAAAAAATTAGTTGGGCATGGTGGTGCATGCCTGTAGTCCTAGCTACTTGGGAGGCAGAGGTGGGAGGATGGCTTGAACCTGGGAGGCAGAAGTTGCAGTGAGCTGAGGTCAGGCCATTGCACTTCAGCCTGGGTGATAGAGTCAGACCCTGTCTCAAAAAAAAAAAAAAAAAAAAAATTAGTGTTAGTGCTCTCTTCAGCAGCACATATACTAAAATTAGAATGATACAGAGAAGGTTGGCATGACCCCCATGCAAGGATGACATACAAATTCATGAAGCATTTCATATAAAGCTGAACAAATTTATTTTTAAAAAATGAGTTTTAATTAAGAATATCCACACATTAAGATACCTAGAACCTTCTATACTTTGTCAGTGCACCCTACTCTGTCGAATGGGAACTGGAATCTGTTATCTGAGAAGGCAATTACCTTTAGCAGCAAGACTCAAGTGAGAGTCCCTGTTCCAGGTTCTGGAACATCAGGCTGTGGTCAGCGTGGGTCTATCAAAGGCAGCAACTCTCCACAACGAGAATTCAGTTTCAGACACGCCAAGTCATCTGACCGTGTGGGCCCAATGTTCAGTATTGCAATTGGCAGCTTCTTCTCCCGGGCAGTGAGGATAAACCTGTAACTGGAGTATACCTGCATGGGTAAAAGACACACATAAGAATGTCTAGGTTCTCTAGCTCTAGGAAAAGTTAAACCAAACAGGGGGTCTCTCCAGGACTCCCAATCCCGCACAGGGGGCGGTTACCACTCTGGCCAAGTCAGATACCTGCAAGGATGATCCCACCACCAAGAGGGAGTCGGCTTCTTTTACACGCTTGTGCACAAAATCAACCTTGTCAGGGTTCACTGTGTCCCCGAAGAAAACGACATCTGGTTTCAGATGGCCTCCACATTGAACGCAGGATGGGACCTGAAAGCTCCGGACTTGCTCCTCTGAGAGAAAGACGTCACCATCAGGAGCCAGACCATAGGCCTCAGCACTCCAGGTGGGGTTCAGGACTTGGAAGCGCTCTTGCAGCACCCCCCGGGGAGTCTGTTCCCCACAATCCAAGCACAGGACCCTGGAACCAAGGAAATCGCTGACTGAACAGTATGTCCTTGGGAGGGACAAAGCTGTCAGAGATGTTTCATCCCCAACCATTTTCAGCCCTTCCATTGCTGCTTTCTTTCCCTAACACACAATCCGCACCCCATTTTCGCCATACTTTCTATTTTATATATATATATTTTTTGGAGACAGGGTCTGGCTGTTGCCCAGGCTTTAATGCAGTGGCATGATCTCAGCTCACTGCAGCCTCAACCTCCTGGCCTCAAGTGATCCTCCCACTTTGGCCTCCCAAAGTGCTGGGATTACAGGTATGAAACACTGCGCCCGGCCCGTCTGTTTCCTTCCTATACACCTTCCTAACCTTCTGCTATAGCTCACTTTTATGCTTAACATGACTGCAAATGCTTTGCCTGCTGGTTTCCTTAGTGTCCAAACCTGCGTTTTTCCCTCTATCCTTTCCCTTGCTCATCTGCTGTATTTGCCACTGTCTATCACCATCCCCTCTAAAATGCTTCTCCTTCTTGGTTTCCAGGACACAGTGTCTCCTGCTTCGTTCCCTTCTCACCTTTTTTTTTTTTTTTTTTTTTTTTTTGAGAGGGAGTTTCACTCTTATTGCCCAGGCTGGAGTGCAATAGCACGATCTTGGCTTGCTGCAACCTCCTCGTGGGCTCAAGTGATTCTCCTGCCTCAGCCTCCTGAGTAGCTGGGATTACAGGCATGCGCCACAACACCCAACTAATTTTTTTAGTATTTTTAGTAGAGACGGGGTTTCTCCATGTTGGTCAGGCTGGTCTCAAACTTCTGACCTCAGGTGATCCACCCACCTCGGCCCCCCAAAGTGCTGGGATTACAGGTGTGAACCACCACACCCGGCCCTCCTTTTCACCTCTGTAATCACCAGAGCTTGAGCCAGTGTGGGGGAGCATTTTGTGTCTGTTTTTATTTTTTTATTTTTATTTTTATTATTTATTGTATTTATTTATTTATTTTTTTATTTTTTTGAAACAGAGTTTCGCTCTTGTTGCCCAGGCCAGAGTGCAATGGCACGATCTTGGCTCACCACAACCTCCGCCTCCCAGGTTCAGGCAATTCTCCTGCCTCAGCCTCCCAAGTAGCTGGGATTACAAGCATGTGCCACCACGTCCGGCTAATTTTATATTTTTAGTAGAGATAGGGTTTCTCCATGTTGAGGCTGGTCTCAAACTTCTGACCTCAGGTGATCCACCCGCCTCGGCCTCCCAAAGTGCTGGGATTACAGGCATGAGCCACGACGCTCGGCCTATTTTTTTATTTTTTTAAGGGGCAGGGTCTTGGCCAGGCGTGGTAGCTCTTACCTGGAGTGCAGTGGCATGATTATAGCTCACTGCAGCCTCGAACACCTAGGCTCAAGCAATCCTCCTGCCTTAGCCTTCCAAAGTGCTGGGACTACAGGTGTGAGCCACCACATCCAGCCTCATTTTTCTCCTTTTAGTTCTAGTCAGCCATCAGATTATGTTGATTTTCTTCTCTTAAAAGGCCCCCTGTGGCCAGGTATGGTGGCTCACACCTTATAATCCCAGCACTTTGGGAGAGTAAAGAGAGAGAATCACTTGAGCCAAGGAGTTCCAGACCAGTCTGGGTAGACAGCAAGACCCTGTCTCTACAAAAAAAAAATTTTTTTTCCTTGTCTTTTTGTTTTTTGGGATGGGGTCTTGCTCTGTCGCTCAGGCTGGAGTGCAATGGTGCGATCTCGGCTCACTGCAACCTCCACCTTCTGAGCTAAAGCGATTCTCCTGCCTCAGCCTCCTGAGCAGGTGGGATTACAGGCGCCTGCCACCAGGCCCAGCTAATTTTTGTGATCTACCCACCTCAGCCTTCCAAAGTGCTGAGACTACGGATGTGAACCACCATGCCTGGCCAAAAAATATTTTTTTAATTAGCTGGAGTTCTAATTACCTAGGAGTTCTAGGTTACAGGGAGCTATAATAGCACCATTGCACTCTAGCCTGGGTGTCAGAGCCAGACCCTGTCTAAATAAGAAAAAAAGGCCAGGCCAGGCGCGGTGGCTCACACCCATAATCCCAGCACTTTGGGAGGTCAGGTGGGTGGATCACTTGAGATCAGGAGTTTGAGACCCGCCTGGCCAACATGGTGAAACCCCGTCTTTACAAAAATACAAAAAAAATTAGCCGGGTGTAGTGGCACACCTGTAATCCCAGCTACTCGGGAGGCTGAGACAGGAGAATTACTTGAACCCAGGAGGCAGAGGTTACAGTGAGCCAAGATCGGGCTGCTGCACACTCCAGCCTGGGTGACAGAGTGAGACTGCATCTCAAAAACAAAACAAAACAAAACAAAACAAAAAACCAACAACAACAAAAAACAGGCTAAGATAGAGGTAAGCAAATTATTTGTATTTTTAGTAGAGATGGGGTTTCACCGTGTCAGCCAGGATGGTCTCAAACTCCTGACCTCAAGTGATTTGCCTGCCTCTCTGCCTCCCAAAGTGCTGAGATTACAGGCATGAGCCACTGCACCCATCCCAGTTTCCTTTCTCTCTGTTTTTTTTTTTTTTTTTTTTTTTTTTTTTGATGGAGTTTCACTCTTGTTGCCCAGGCTGCAGGCTGGAGTGCAGTGGCACAATCTCGGCTCACCACCACCTCCACCTACTGGGTTCAAGCAATTCTCCTGCCTCAGCCTCCCGAGTAGCTGGGATTACAGGCATACACCACCACATCTGGCTAATTTTGTATTTTTAGTAGAGACGGGGTTTCTCCATGTAGGTCAGGCTGGTCTCGAACACCTGACCTCAGGTGATCTGTCCGACTCAGCCTCACAAAGTGCTGAGATTGCAGGCGTGAGCCAACCGCACCTGGCCAATTTCCTTTCTTAAAATTTTTTTTTGTAGAGATGGAGTCTGGCTGTGTTACCCAGGCTGGTCTTGATCTCCTAACCTCAAGCAATCCTCCTGCCTCGGCCTCTTGAGTTGCTGGGATGACAGATATGAACCACAGCACCCTGGTGCACACAGTTTTCTTATAAGCAGTTTCCTGTGTCTCTCTTGCTTCAGATGTTCTCTGCCCATGGAAGCCTCCTTGGGAGGAGCAGAGTCAAAATGTTAGGGAATTAATTTCCCTAGAGTGATCCTGGACCCATGAGGGATGAAAGATGGTGAATAAATACCCTAGCTTCAGGGCCAAGCACAGTGGCTCACACTTGTAATCCCAGCACTTTGAGATGCCAAGGCAGGAGGATCATGTGAGCCCAGGAGTTTGAGACCAGCCTGGGCAACATAGTAAGACTTCATCTCTCCAAAAAAATAAAAATTAAATTAAAAATTAGCTGGGCATGGTGGCGTTTGTCTGTAGTCCCAGCTACTTAGGAGGCTGGGGTGAAAGGATCACTTGAGCCCAGGAGATTGAGGCTATAGTGAGCTATAATCACACCACTGCACTCCAGTCTGTGTGACAGAGTGAGAGCCTGTCACACACACATACACGTGCACACACAAATACAAAAGAAAAGAAAAGAAAAAAGAAAAAAAAATCACCCTAGCTTGCCTAACTTTTTTTTTTTTTTTTTTTGAGACGGAGTTTTGCTCTGTCGCCTAGGCTGGCATGTAGTGGCATGATCTCAGCTCATGATCTCAGCTCACTGGAACCTCCACCTCCCAGGTTCAAGCAGTTCTCCTGCCTCAGCCTCCTGAGTAGCTGGAATTACAGGTGCGTGCCACCACGTCTAACAAATTTCTGTATTTTTAGTAGAGACGGGGTTTCACCATGTTGACCAGGTTGATCTTGAACTCCTGACCTCCCAAAGTGCTGGGATTACAGGCGTGAGCCACCACAACAGGCCTCAACTTCCTTTAAAAAAAAAAACATGTGTATATATATGTGTGTGTGTGTGTGTGTGTGTATATATATATAAAATTTACTTTATTTATATAGAGACAGAGTCTCACTGTGTTGGCCAGGTTGGTCCTGAACTGTTGGCCTCAAGCAGTCTTCCTGTCTCAGCCTTCCAAAGTGCTAGGATTACAGGCATAAGCCATTGTGCACCATCCTCAACTTTTGTTTTCTTTTTTTTTGAGATGGAGTCTTGCTGTGTTGCCCAGGCTGGATTGCAGTGGTGCAATCTTGGCTTACTGCAGCAACCTCTGCCTCCCAAGAGATTTTCCTGCCTCAGCCTCCCAAGTAGCTGGGATTACAGGCATGTGCCACCACGACCGCCTAATTTTTGTATTTTTAGTAGAAATGGGGTTTCACCATGTTGGCCAGGCTGGTCTCGAACTCCTGAGCTCACATGATCTGCCCGCCTCATTCTCCCAAAGTGCTCAGATTATAGGCATGAGCCACTGCGCCCAGCCCCAGCCCTCAAGTTTCACTGAGCAATCCTCCGACATGTCCTAGACAGTTGGAGGATTCCTCAGGACTGAACCCCAGTGCCCAAAGCAGTAACCCACTCATTAACACACCCTTTCCTGGCTTTCCTCTCTTTTCTGTTTTATGTCCTCACTCCGTCAATGAATTTACTGGAATCAACTCCAAAGTAAACAACTTGTTCTGAAATCCTTTTCTCAAAGTCTAAGACTGCGGTGATCAAGACAACCAAGGTTCCTACTCTCCCAAAACAACACATGGGTTTGCGTTCAAACCATGTACACCTCCTGCACCTGTGCATGCATCCGTGGAGCTCTGTCAGGCGCCGACTCCCTGCCTTGGTGTGCAAGGCGTCCACATTTTGGGTCACCAACCAGTACAGCTTTCCGAGTTTCTCCCAGGTACTCAAAGCCCAGTGTGCAGGGTTCGGCTGGTGGGAGGAGAATTGAGGCCAGCCCACAAAGTTTCTCGCCCAGTACCGCTGGCGGATTGGGGCACTCCGGACAAAATCGCCATGCTGAATGGGCCTGCGGTCAGTGCGGGCATAAAGCCCCACCTTTTCTGACCTGTAGTCTGGTATCCCCGACTCGGTGGAGATTCCTGCCCCAGTCATTACGAGGAGTCTCTTGGAAAGTGTGATGAAGCGCTGTAACTCTTTGACCTTCTCAGGGTCCAAAGGAGGACTTGCTGGCACAAATAACCCAATGGAAGCTTTCGAGCACTGCCAGCTGGGGTTTGCGATCCAATGGCCTTTTGCTGACCTGAAAGTCAACCCAAAGATCATCTTCATTCTAGAGAAAAAGAAACCTCATGTGAGAAAGTGGGGTGTTTTTTTCTCATTTTTTGTTTCTTTATTTGTTTTGTTTTTTGAGACAGAGCCTCCCTCCGTTGCCCAGGCTAGAGTACAGTGGCGCAATCTCATCTCACTGCAACCTCCGCCTCCTAGGTTCAAGTGATTCTCCTGCCTCAGCCTCCCAAATAGCGGGATTACAGGTGTGTGCCACCACACCCAGCTAATTTTTTTGTATTTTACTAGAGACAGAGTTTCACCATGTTGGCCAGGCTGGTCTCAAACTCCTGACCTCAGGTGATCTGCCTGCCTCAGGTGATCTGCCTGCCTCGGCCTCCCAAAGTGTTGGGATTACACCCGTGAGCCACCGCACCCGGCCCCATTCATTCTTTTTTGAGCCAGCATCTCACTCTGTCACCCAGGCTGGAGTGCAGTGGCATGATCTTGGCTCACTGTGACCTCCGCCTCCCGGATTCAAGTGATTCTCCTGCCTCAGACTCCAGAATAGCTGGGACTATAGGTGAGCGCCACCATGCCCAGCTAATTTTTATATTTTTAGTAGAGACGGGGTTTCACCATGTTGGCCAGGCTGCTCTCGAACTCCTGAGCTCTAGTGATCTGCCCGCCTCGGCCTCCCAACGTGCTGGGATTACAGGTGTGAGCCTCCAAGCCTGGCCCTAATAAGTCAGGTTTTGTTTGATTTTGTTCATGTAATTAAGCACACATACACACTCCTTTTATTTTTTCATTTCCCCCTTATTTTAGTTTACCTTCCACTGCAAGCTCTGCTACTTGGATACATCAGAGAGACAAGACCCCTGCCTGTCAGCTTTTCTAGCTGTAACAATATAGGGCCGGGTGCTGTGGCTCACGTCTGAAATCCCAGCACTTTGGGAGGCTGAGGTAGGCAGATCACTTGAGATCAGGAGTTCCAGACATGCCTGGCCAACATGGTGAAACCCCGTCTCTACTAAACCTACAAAAAAATTTAGCCGGGAGTGGTGGCACGTGCCCGTAATCCCAGCTACTGGGGAGGCTGAGACAGAATTGCTTGAACCCGGGAGTGGGAGGTTGCAGTGAGCCAAGGTCGCGCCATTGCACTCCAGCCTGGGCGAAGAAGCGAGACTCCGTCTCAAAAAAAACCCTTTGACATATTATTTGATATAATGCATAAATCCTCTAGTGACATGCAACCCGTATGTAAACATTATTTTATGCTTGGCTTTCCAGATCTGAGATCAGGACCCCGCTTTCTCCTTGACATTCCACAGCAACACGTGAACAGCTAAACAAACACACATTCCGGTTTCCCGAGACCAAAGGGCCAGGGAAACACCAGCTGAAAACATGCATCAGCGGAACAACTGCTCTCTTCCAGGTCCCACCAAGGGCAAAGAGGAGAAATAGAATCCCTCACAAGAAATCCACAACTTCTAGAAACCCGCAGCACGCACAGAACACACTTACCTCTCACAGCTCTGCGGACACTTCATACCCCACAGTGGGGCTGTCTGATTACATTTGCATTTTGGGACATGTAGTCCAGAAAGATTAAATTATCAGAGAAAAACTACAAGTCCCATAATCTTCCACATCTCGCAATTGACGGCCCCAGATCATCCAGGATCGCCCCCTGTCGGCTCTTTCTGGTCAGAGGTCCTCTGTTAATATAAAAGCTTTTAATCATGGATTGTTTGTTTGTTTTCAATTTTTGTGGGCACTTAGTAGGTGTATATATTTATGGTGTACATAAGTTTTTTGTGTGTGTTTTCTTTTTTCTTTTCTTTTAAGACGGAGGTTTTCTTTTGAAAAAACTCCAGGCTGGAGTGCAATGGCACGATCTCGGCTCACTGCAACCTCCCTCTCCCAGGTTCAACCAATTCTCCTGCCTCAGCCTCCAGAGTAGCTGGGATTATTATTATTATGATTTATTGATTTATTTATTTATTTATTTATTTATTTATTTATGTTTTGAGTCGGAGTCTCGCTCTGTCGCCCAGGCTGGAGTGCAGTGGTGAGATCCCGGCTCATTGCAAGCTCTGCCTCCCGGGTTCATGCCATTCTCCTGCCTCAGCCTCCCCAGTAGCTGGGACTACAGGCGCCCGCCACCACGCCCGGCTAATTTCTTTTTGTATTTTTAGTGGAGACGGGGTTTCACCATGTTAGCCAGGATGGTCTCAATCTCCTGACCTCGTGATCTGCCCACCTCGGGCTCCCAAAGTGGTAGGATTACAGGTGTGAGCCATGCGCCCGGCCTATTTTTGTATTTTTAGTACAGACGGGGGTTTCGCCATGTTGGCCAGGCTAGTCTTGAACTCCTAACCTCAGGTGATCCGCACGCCTTGACCTCCCAAAGTGCTGGGATTATAGGCGTGAGCCACCGCGCCTGGCCATCTTTTCTCTTATTTTTTGTCTTCTTTTCTTTTCCCTGTGCCTATCTATGCTTTACCTACATGGGATGTTTTGATACAAACATGCAATGTGAAATAAGCACATCATTAATCATGAATCTAGATTTGACTTTTTAAAAAGTTTTTGTATTTTTAGCCGAGACAGAGTTTCACAATGTTGGCCAGGCTGGTCTAGAACTCCCAACCTCAGGTGATCAGCCAGCCTCAGCCTCCCAAAGTGCTGGGATGACAGGCCTGAGCCACTGCGCCTGGCCTAGATTTGACTAATTCTAAACATCAGAGTTTGTGATCCTTTTCATTCACAGCGACAGAATCAAGTTCTTACCTTGAACTTGCGAAGAAATGCATTTATACATATCTAAAAAAGTGATAGTTTGTTTTTTTGGTTTTTTTGTTTTTGAGACAGAGTCTCCCTCTGTCACCCAGGCTGGAGTGCAATGGTGCCATCTCGGCTCACTGCAATCTCCACCTCCCGGGTTCAGGCGATTCTCCTGCCTCAGTCTCCTGAGTAGCAGGGATTATAGGCACGTGCCACTACGCCTTGCTAATTTTTTTATTTTTAGTAGAGACAAGGTTTCACCGTGTTAGCCAGGATGGTCTTGATCTCCTGACCTCATGATCTGTCCGCTCTAGCTTCCCAAAGTGCTGAGATTACAGGCGTGAGCCACCGCGCCTGGTCAAAAGTATTGTTTTTACAGTTAATATGAAGCCAAATATATTATACTTGGACTAATGTACTTAACCTGCTTGGCTTCTCCAATTCTATTTATCATCTTGTTTTTCTGTTAAGTTAATCAACACAATGCCTGTGTCTCACTCCCAGTGATTGTGATCTACGAATTTCCTAATTATTCCTAATGTGTAGACAACCAGAACTGCTGTTCTACAGCATCACCTAAATCAATACATTTATAAGTGTCTGTGGACATAAAGGTGGGCAGCTAGCAGGGACCTTGAAGACCACCTAAGGACTCCCTTCCCCCATTGTAAAATGAATTGGGCTGAGCGCAGCGGTTCCCACCTGTAATCCCAACACTTTGGAAGGCCAAGGCAGGAGGATCACTTGAGCTCAAAAGTTTGAGACCAGCCTGGGCAACATAGTGAGACCCAATCACTACAAAAAATAAACAAAATTAGCCGGGTGTGGTGGTATGTGCCTGTAGTCCCAGCTACTCAGGAGGCTTAGGTGGGAGGATCACTTGGAGCCCAGGAGATCGAGGCTGCAGTGAGCCATAATTGTGCCACTGCACTTCAGCCTGGATGACAAAGTGAGATCCCATCTCTTTAAAAAATAATAATAATAAGTAAAGATGAACTGAAGTGCAGAGAAGTAACATGGAAGCTTGAGAAAGAGTTTCTAGGTTTTTGGTTCTATCATTGTATCTTTGGAGGTAATATCGGTAAAATGACCGTTTAGTAGTTTGGGATGTGAGACAAATGTAAGAAGCCATGTTTGCTCATTTCTGCTTTTTTTTTTTTTTTTTTTTTTTTGAGACAGGATCTCGTTCTGTCACCCAGGCTGGAGTGCAGTTGTGACATCACAGCTCACTGCAGTTTCTACTTCCCAGGCCCAAGGGATCCTCCGACCTCAGCCTCTCAAGTAGCTGAGATCACAGCCATCCACCACCCCGCCCAGCTAAATTTTGTTAGTTTTTATTTTTGTTGAGACGCGGTCTCACTATGTTGCTCAGGCTGGTCTCAAACTCCTGAACGCAAGGAAAGCTCTCGCCTTGGCGTCCCAAAGCGCTGGGATTACAGGTGCGAGCCAGCATGCCGGGCCTGCTTATTTTGACTTGCCAGCATCATTTCATGAAGCCCCTGACTCTGTGACAACATGCAGCTCTCCAGAAAGATGCTTTGAAAACAAAACAGAATAGAGCACATGGCCTTCCATTTCTCTTGTGAGTCACTATATTCATTAAAAGATAAATTACAGGCCGGGCACGGTGGCTCACACCTGTAATCCCAACACTTTGGGAGGCCAACGCGGGTGGATCACCTGAGGTCAGGAGTTCGAGACCAGCCTGCCCAACATGGTGAAACCCTGTCTCTACTAAAAATACAAAAAATTAGCCAGGCGTGATGGCGGGCACCTGTAATTCCAGCTACTCGGGAAGCTGAGGCAGGAGAATCACTGGAACCCGGGAGGCGGAGGTTGCAGTGAGCTGAGATTGCACCACTGCTTTCCAGCCTGGTGACAGAACAATACTCCATCTCAAATAATAATAATAATAATAATAGGGCCGGGCATGAGCCACTGGACCCAGCCACTTTAATTATTTAAAAGCTTATTTTTTTATTCTGGGGACATGGTCTCACTCTGTCACCTAGGCGGGAGTGCAGTGGCACAATCACTGTTCACTACAGCCTCAACCTCTTGGATTCAAACCATCCTCCCACCTCAGCCTCCTGAGCAGCTGGGACTACAGGTGGGCCACCATGCCCAGCTAATTTTTGTATTTTTTTTTTGTAGAGACGGGGTTTTTCACCATGTTGCCCAGGCTGGTCTCAAACTCCTGGGCTCTAGGCTTTCCAAAGTGTTGTGATTACGGGAGTGAGCTACTGCGCCTGGCCGATTATTTTTTTCCTTAGTGGAAAGGGAGTAGTAGCTCCAGCAACAGCGAAAGTCAGTAGTTGTAGGATCTACTAGGCGGGGAAACTCATCTGACAGCCCCCTTCTTTTTTTTTTTTTTTTTTTTGAGACGGAGTTTCACTCTTGTTGACCAGGCTGGAGTGCAATGGCGCCATCTTGGCTCACTGCAACCTCCGCCTCCCAGGTTCAAGCGATTCTCCTTCCTCAGCCTCCCTAGTAGCTGGGATTACAGGTATGAGTCACCGTGCCCGGCCACCCCCTTTTTTTTTTCAAGGCTGCAGTGAGCCATGATCCTGTGACTGCACTCCAGCCACTGACGGCCCTTTCTGCATTAGTTAACCTGACCACATCTGCTGAAAGAAAGAACCAGAAGCTAGACTGAAATTTTCGTTGTCAAAAAAATTATAATCCCCCCAAAATTTAAAAATTAAAATCCAGCACATTTTCTGCACACATTTTCTGGGTATTTGATCATAACTTTAAAAAATGTGAAAACAGTGACATTCTCCTTCCCCACCCACCAATTTTACTATGAAAAAGTTCAAACCTATATCATTTTTTCAGTTCTCCAAGTGGAATGACCATCACTAATAGAGACTGGTCGGGAATTCTATTGTGCTTCTAGGCCCCCAAAAATCTCATGCTCTGAGGAAAAGTTAGCTGAGTTTTCAATTTTTCTCATAGCGCTGGAAAATCATCCCTGGAAGGTGAAGTCATCCAAGTCTGTTTTGTTTTGTTTTCTTTCTTTTATTTTCTTTTCTTTCCTTCCTTCCTTCCTTCCTTCCTTCCTTTCTTCCTTCCTTTCTTCCCTCCCTCCCTCCCTCTCTCCCTCCCTTCCTTCTTTCTTTCTAATTTTGTGTATGCTTTTTTTTATTTGTTTCTATTTCTTTCTTTCTTTCTTTTTTTTTTTGTCATCCAAGTCAGCTGGTGAAACACACAATTTAACTTCATAGCTACTGAGAGAGGGTAATGGGCCATGCATTCTAGAATTCTCAAGGGCTGGGAAGTTCCTTTGATACCCTCATGGGATTAGGATTAGGGCTTTAGTCTTTTTCTCTTTTTTTTTTTTTGAGATGGAGACTCCAGTCTGTCACCCAGGCTGGAGTGCAGTGGCGCAATCTCAGCTCACTGAAACCTCTGTCTTCTGGGTTCAAGCGATTCTCCTACGTCAGCCTCCCGAGTAGCTGGGATTACAGGCGCCCACCACCATGCCCAGCTAATTTTTTTTTGTATGTTTAGTAGAGATGAGATTTCACCATCTTGGCCAGGCTGGTCTTGAACTCCTGACCTTGTGATCCACCCGCCTTGGCCTCCCAAAGTGCTGGGATTACAGGCGTGAGCCACCGCGCCTGGCCTAGTCTTTTTCTCACAACTCCACCTCACCCAGAATTAATGACTGTATCCTTGACTGGATGATCAAAGTAAAATAATCTAAATTCTTTTCTTTTTTTTTTTTCCTACTGATTTTCCCTACCCTAGCAGGTGTTGGGAAAATCAGTATCCAGGCTGTGACTTGAATAAGTAGTCGGCTGCAGTGGCTCACGCCTGTAATCCCACCCTTTGGGGAGGCTGAGGTAGGCGGATCACTTGAGCCCAGGAGTTGGAGACCAGCATGGACAACATGGTGAAATCCCACATCTACAAAAAATACAGAAAAATTAGCTGGGCATGGTGGTGTGTGCCTGTAGTCCCAGCTACCTGGGAGGCTGTGGTGGGAAGATCGCTTGAGCCCAGGATGTTTAGGCTGCACTGAGCCGTGATTGTGCCCGTGTGTTCCAACCTAGGCGACTGAGAACATGTCTCAAAAAAAAAAAAAAAAAAAAAAGAAATAACCAGACAACACATCAGCATCAAACAGGCCTTTTAAAATGTATATAGATGATGAGTACATGAATGTTCACTGAGGAATTCTTTGAACATTTTGTGTTTAAAATTTTTTATAATAAAATGTTGGAGGAAATGTTACTTTCTTGGGGACTACTATTTGCATCTTAACGAGTAAAAAAACCCAAATAAATGTATTTCAGAGCATATAATTCAGTGAGGAAACAAGTTTAGATGTAGGTTTCTTTTTTTTTTGAGATGGAGTCTCGCTCTCTATTGCCCAGACTGGAGTGCAGTGGCATGATCTCAGCTCACTGCAACCTCTGCCTCCCAGGTTCAAGCGATCCTCCTGCCTCAGCCCCCCTAGTAGCTGGGTTAATTTTGTATTTTGTATTTACAGGGGTGTCGCCATGTTGCCAGGCTGGTCTTGAACTCCTGACCTCAGGTGATCCACCCACCTTGGCCTCCCAAAGTGTTGGGATTACAGGCATGAGCCACCACACGTAGACCAGATGTAGGTTTCTTTTTTTTTTTTTTTTTTTTTTGAGATGGAGTCTTGCTCTGTTGCCCAGGCTGGAGTGCAGTGGCGCGATCTCCGCTCACTGCAAGCTCTGCTGCCTCCAGGGTTCACGCCATTCTCCTGCCTCAGCCTCCCGAGAAGCTGGGACCACAGGTGCCCGCAACCATGCCCAACTAATTTTTTTGTATTTTTTAGTAGAGACGGGGTTTCACTATGTTTGCCAGGATAGTCTCGATCTCCTGACCTTGTGATCCGCCCGCCTCAGCCTCCCAAAGTGCTGGGATTACAGGCGTGAGCCACCACGCCCCGCCCAGATGTAGGTTTCTAACAGCTTTCTACATCCTGAAGGAACAAAGGCAGTGAGGGTGAAAGTTGCTTCAAATTTTAGATACTGTGAATATTTCTGTGGAAATAAATCCTTATTCTTTCAGCCTCTTTTTGAATTACAGTGTTCAAAGAAAACCCTTTTGAATTAACATATGATCCAGCAATTTTACTTCTAGGTATATGCACCAAAGAATAGAAAACAGGGGCCGGGTGTGGTGGCTCACACCTGTAATCCTAGCACTTTGGGAGTCCGAGGCAGGCAGATCACCTGAGGTCAGGAGTTCGAGACCAGCCTGACCAACATGGAGAAACCCCGTCTCTACTTTAAAAAAGAAAAAAAAAATTTATATATAAACAATTAGCCGAGCATGGTGGCGCATGCCTGTAATCCCAGCTACTCGGGAGGCTGAGGCAGGAGAATCTCTTGAACCCAGGAGGCAGAGGTTGCGGTGAGCTGAGATTGCACCATTGCAGTCCAGACTGGGTAACAAGAGTGAAACTCAGTCTCAAAAAAAAAAAAAAAAGGAAAATAGGAACTTAAGCTGATATTTGCACACCAATAGCAGCATTATTCCCATAGATAAAAGGTGGAAACCAGCAATGTCCATCTAAGAATAAATAGATAGGACAGGCGCAGTGGCTCAGCACTTTGGGAGGCTGAGGCAGGCGGATCACTTGAGGTCAGGAGCTTGAGACCAGCCTGGCCAACATGGTGAAACCCTGTCTCTACTAAAAATACAAAAATTAGCTGGGCGTGGTGTCAGGCACCTGTAATCCCAGCTCCTCGGGAGGCTGAGGCAGGAGAATCGCTTGAACCCAGGAGGCAGAGGTTGATCTCACCATTGCGCTCCAGCCTGGGCAACAAAAGCAAAACTTCGTCTCAAAAAAAAAAAAAAAAAAAAAAAAAAAAAAGAATAAATGGGGTGGGTGCGGTGGCTCACACCTGTAATTCCAGCACTTTGGGAGGCCGAGGCGGGCAGATCACCTGAGGTCAGGAGTTTGAGACCAGCCTGGCCAACATGGTGAAATCCCGTCTCCACTAAAAATACAGAGTGGTGGCGGGCACCTGTAATCCCAGCTACTTGGGAGACTGAGGCAGGAGAATCGCTTGAATCCGGGAGGCAGAGGTTGCGGTGAGCCGAGATCATGCCACTGCACTCCAGCCTGGGCAACAAGAGCAAGAACTCCATCTCAAAATAAAAAAGGATAAACATCTCATACAATGAAATATGATTCAGCCATAAAATTAATGAATTCCTGATATATACTACAACATGGATGAACCTTAAAAACATTATTCTGAATGAAATAAGTCTGACCCCAAAGGGCAAATATTGTATGATTCCATTTATATATATAAAGTACTCACAAACTAATAGAGATAGAAAGTAGAAAAGAGGTTGCCACGGGCTGGAGGAGAAGGGAACAGGAAGTAAAGGTTTAATGGGTACAGAGTCTCAGTTTCCACCCTTGGGCATGGAAGATAAAGTTCTGGATATAAGTAGTGGTGATGGTTGCACAACAATGTGAATATATTCTGTGCCAGTGAATTTACACTTAAAGGTTAAAATGGTAAATTTTATGTATACTTTGGCACAATTTTTTAAAAAGTCTCATAATAATAATAATAATAATAATCGTCTTTGGAGAAGTCAGTTACACCGAATCTGGAGCCAAGTGAACGGAACCCTGACTTAGATCCCTTTTCTCTCAACAGCCCCTAGCAGTCTCTGAATTAAAGTCTATTAGCATGTTCCTCCCATAATGCTTTTCTCCATATCCACAGAAACCTAGTTAAGTGAAATCAGCAACAATAGGCAGAAACCACCTACGTAGCTCAGAAACATCTTCCTAAGATGGCATAATTTTCAAGCAAGCAATAAGTGAAGATTTTTCCATAGGCCCTAAACTCACCTTTGCGAAATAGGAACCTGGCTTATTGGGAGTGATGACGAGGGGGCGTAACTCGATAGCTTTGCGCAGTGGCAGTATCGTAGCCAATGAGGTTTATCCGAGGCGCGATTATTGCTAATTGAAAACTTTTCCCAATACCCCGCCGTGACGACTTGCAATATAGTCGGCATTGGCAATTTTTGACAGTCTCCACGGAGACTGAATATTACAGTGCTATGAAAAGATAGATATTTGTTATGATAGTAAAGCACGATGGACGTGCTAATCCTTACCTGCTGAGTGCTTTGAAGGTGGAGGTGCTGTTGCGTTTGTTTCTACTGTTAAGGTAAATTCAGAGTTCTTACCAGCTGGCTGTTCCTTTCTTTCGCGCTGTGTTTTTGTTTTTGGGACGAAGTCTCACTCCATCGCTCAGGCTGGAGTGCACTGGCGTGATCTCCGCTTGCTGCAACCTCTGCCGCCCGGGTTCAAGCGAGAAGCGATTCTCGTGCCTCAGCCTCCCGACTAGTAGGATTACAGGCGCCTGCCACCGCACCCCGCTAATTTTTTGTATTTTCAGTAGAGACCCCGTTTCACCATCTTGGCCAGGCTGGTCTTGAACTCCTGACCTCGTGATTCACTCGCCTCGGCCTCCCAGAGTGCTGGGATTACAGGCGTGAGCCGCCGCGCCCAGCCGTGTTCTCCAGATTTTGTCACAGTAACGTCTTAAAATTATTCCCAACTCTCCCACCCTGCTGTTACCGCACCCGCGAGCACAGCTAGTCGTCCCTCTGCGCCCTCCAGCTTACTTTCCCGCTGCTCACTCTCCTCGCTCAAAATTCGGGTCTCAACCGAGTCAGCTCTGTGACGTCACGTTGATTTGCATAAGATTCCCCAGCGTCCCAAGCGAATGTTCTTATTATTTCCAAAATCTGAATGTTTGACACGAGATGTTCCAACAACAAAAAACCTCCCACGCAGATGGGCCTTAAATACGGCTGGTGGAGTGGGAACACGTCGTATCCACGGACACACTGGCAGGCACTCACCCTTAATGTAATGGGAGTCATCATCCGTGGGAGAGTGAGGCGGGAAGTTGGAATCTTCAGCTTTGCGCAGTGGCAGTATCGTAGCCAATGAGGTTTATCCGAGGCGCGATTATTGCTAATTGAAAACTTTTCCCAATACCCCGCCATGACGACTTGAAATATAGTCGGCATTGGCAATTTTTGACAGTCTCTACGGAGACTGATTTATTCCGCGTTTAAAAGAAGTTCATGTTGTATTAGCGAGTATAGTTTGTGAGATGTTGATACGTTTGTTTTGTTTTTGTGTTAATAACCGGAGGTTGTATGGGATTTTGTGTGGATGCTGTGCGTCGTTTTCCAAGATGTATGACACGCAATATTGGAAATTGGGTTCCCAGGCAGTTATCATTAATATTTATACAAATGCAGCTAGCAAGTGAGCTATTCCATCTCCTTTGTCGCTGAAGGTCACAGATTGCCTTAAAGGGAAAGGGGGGAACTCTGACACCAACACGTTAACACATCCAAAGTCTTCCTTTTTGTGTTTTTGAGATGGAGTTTTCGCTGTTGCACCGGCTGGAGTGCAGTGGCGCGATCTCGGCTCACTGCAACCTCCACATTCCGGGTTCAAGCGATTCTCTGTCTCAGCCTCTGGAGTAGCTGGGATTACAGGAGCCCACCACCACGACCGACTCCTTTTTGTGTTTTTAGTAGAGACGGGGTTTCGCCTTCTTGGCCAGGCTGGTCTCAAACTCCTGACCTCAGGTGATCAGCCCTCCTCGGCCTCCCAAAGTGCTGGAATTACAGGTGTGAACCACCACACCCGGCCCAAAGTCTTCCTCTTAAAGCGACCAAGAGGGAAAAAGGCACAGAAGAAGACTTGCTCAGGTCCTACTGTGGAGTCCTCGGCAGAGCAGGGGCTGATCAGGTTCTCTTGCCCCTAGTGTGGTACTTGTTCCCACTACACCAGCCTCTTCCAGTCTCATCTTTTTACGAAAACCTGGGCTGTCCATGGACAGAGGTCCTTGGGAGTCACAATCCTGGTCATGGCGGATCCAGCTGGACCTGTTTAGGACACCGCCCATAAAACACTCCTCCAGCCTGTAGCAAAAAGATGTGGCAAAAAGGGTGGCAACAATACCTACGAGGTCAAAGGCGGTGCTGGGAAAAACAGCTCCAGTGGCAAATTAAACTCAGTCCTCAGTTCAAGGACATGGAGGCGAAGGTAGCAGTAAGCTGAAATCGCGCCACTGCACTCCAGCCTGGGTGACAGTGAGACTCTGTCTCAAAAAAAAAAAAAAAGAAGAAGAAACCGAGTGCGGTGACTCACACCTGTAATCCCAGCATTTCAGGGGGCCAAGGAGGGCAGATCACGAGGTCAGGAGATCAAGACCATCCTGGCTAACACAGTAAAACCCCGTTTCTACTAAAAATACAAAAAAAATTTAGCCAGGTTTGGTGGCGGGCACCTGTAGTCCCAGCTACTCGGGAGGCTGAGGCAGGAGAGTGGCGTGAACCCGGGAGGCGGAGCTTGCAGTGAGCCGAGATCCCGCCACTGCACTCCAGCCTGGGCGACAGAGCGAGACTCCGTCTCAAAACAAACAAACAAACAAACAAAAAATTGGATTATACTCTACATATAGTTCTATTACTTCCTTTTTCTTTCTGCTATACAATACATTGTGGACACATTTTCCATGCCAGCACCTAGTTCCCCTTTTCCCGTATAGATGTGACCTACCAAGGTTAACCAATCCCCCATACTGGACATGTGAGTTGTTTCCAGTTTTTCCCATAAGCAATGCTATAACGAATACACTTGATGCTACATCGTCTTTCCTTAATCTTGGGGTATTTGTGGGGGAAAATCTCTTTCTTTCTTTTTTTTTTCTTTAAACAGGGTCTTGCTCTGCTACCCAGGCTGGAGTGCAGTGGTGTGATCTTGGTTCACTGCAACCTCGACCTCCCAGGCTCAAGCTATTCTCCTGTCTCAGCCTCCCGAGTACCTGGGATTACAGGCATGTGCCACCACGCCCAGCTAATTTTTGTATTTTTTGTAGAGATGGGGTTTCACTATGTTAGCCAGGCTGGTCTTGAACTCCTAGACTCAAGCTTTTTGCCCACCTTAGCCTCCCAAAATGCTGGCACTATAGGCATGAGCTACCACGCAGGCCTGGGGAAAATTTCTTTTTTGAGATGGAGTTTCGCTCTTGTTGCTCAGGCTGGAGTGCAGTGGTGTGATCTCGGCTCATGGCAACCTCTGCCTCTCAGGTTCAAGCAATTCTCCTGCCTCAGCCTCCCGAATAGCTGGGATTACAGGCATCTGCCACCACGCCCGGTAATTTTGTATGTTTAGTAGAGACGGGGTTTCACCATGTTGGTCAGGCTGGTCTCAAACTCCTGGCCTCAGGTAATCTGGGCCTCGGGAAAATTTCTCTAGGTAGAATTGCCTCCTCAAAGGCCATGCTCACTTTGCACTTTAAGGGATATCCCCACACTGGCACCCCTAAGATTGTACCAATGTATTTGCCCAAAAAGCCACATATGAGGACATCTGGAGAAGGTTTGATATATACTTTTTTTTTTTTTTTTTTTTTTTTGTAGACGGAGTCTTGCTCTGTTGCCCAGGCTAGAGTGTAATGGTGCGATCTTGGCTCACTGCAACCTCCACCTCCTGGGTTCAAGTGATTCTTTCACCTCAGCCTCCCAAATAGCTGGGATTACAGGCGTGCGCCACCACGCCCAGCTAATTTTTGTATTTTTAGTAGAGATGGAGTTTTGCCATATTTGCCAGGCTGGTCTCGAACTCCTGACCTTGTGATCCACCTGCCTTTGCCTCCCAAAGTGCTGGGATTACAGGCGTGAGCCACCATGCCTGGCCTGATGCATACATTTGTAAGTGTTCTGCAGCTTTCATAGGGCTGTCACAGGTCGTCAGGGAGGGGAAGAAGCGGGAGGGTAAAAGTGCGCCCATTCTCCTGAGGTGCTGACTGTACAATCCAGCTTCAACCGAGGTTTGTCTTCCAGCTGTTTTCCAGGCAGAGAGAAGGGAGAAGGGGCTGAGTTGGGTGAGATAAAATGTCTCGGAGGGAGGAGAAATCTGGACTCATCCAAAACTTACTTTCTCCCTCTCCACCATATAGTGAATATCCTTGGATACATTAGCCACCCCACCCGCCATGAGGCCAACCCCCACCCACCGTCCCACCCGCTGGCTCCAGGGGATGGAAAAGTCCTCCTACAAGGGCTATCTCAGCAGGGAAAGGGCCCACAGACCCCTAAACAATCTGCTCAGTGTTCAAGGCACTGCAGAATGTTAGCAAGAATCGCCAGCTTCTAGGATAAAAATATCCCGTGCCCAAGGGGCCCTCAGTGTCTGTCTCAAAACAGAGCTGGCTCTAAGCTCTACAGTTTCTCCATCACTGGGAAATTAACTGAGGCCAACTGATTTTTTTTTTCCCCATGAAACTTTGAAGCCAGACTTGGGTTCAAGACCTTGCTTCGTTATTCTCTACTTGCATGACCACTCACCTACCCTCACCTACCTTCACTCACCTACCCTCACCTACCCTCTGGTGCCTCAGTGTCCCTGGCTGTAAAAACAAAGAGAGTCCTGGTTCTATCTCAGAGTTCAGCAGTTCTCCACCCTGACTATGTGTGCACGAAAACCACCTGAGGAGCTTTACAGAAATCCCTGTGCCCCGGCTGCATTCCAAACCCATTAAATCAGAATTTCTGAGGAATGGGTCAGGGCAAAAAAATGTGTATTAAAGCTTCCAATGTTATGTTTCTCCAAGGATGAGACCCATTACCAGAGAGATTTGGTGAGTTTTTTTGTTTGTTTGTTTGTTTGTTTTTTTAGACGGAGTCTCGCTCTGCTGTCCAGGCTGGAGTGCAATGGCGCAATCTCAGCTCACTGCAACCTCCGCCTCCCGGGTTCAAGTGATTCTCATGCCTCAGCCGCCGGAGTAGCTGGAACTACAGGCACCCGCCACCACGCCTGGCTAAATTTTTTTGTATTTTTAGTAGAGACGGGGTTTCACCGTGTTAGCCAGGATGGTCTTCATCTGACCTCATGATCCACCTGCCTCAGCCTCCCAAAGTGCTGGGATTACAAGCATGAGCCACTGCGACCGGCCAGAGATTTGGTGAGTATTAAGTGAGATGATATGGGAAGATTGCTTCCTTTGGTGCCTGTTTCAGAGTTAAGTACTTTAGTGGGGGTGGGGTGGTCATGGAACTGACCAGCTAAGCCTAGGTGGTTGTCAAGGAGGGCTTCCTGAAGAAGGGGGTAGCTAAGCTGTGAACTGAAGGAGGAGAGGCATTAACCAGGTCAAAGAGGGCAGGATGGATTTTAGCAGCAGTAATAGCACTGGCAGGGGCCTGGAGACAGGAATATGTGACCTTTTTGTTGTGGTGGTGGTGGTTGTTGTTGAGATGGAGTCTCGCTCTGTTGCCCGGGGTGGAGTGCACTGGCACAATCTTGGCTCACTGCAACCTCCACCTGCCGGGTTTGGGCGATTCTCTGGCCTCAGCCTCCCGAGTAGCTGAGCTCACAGGTGTTCGTCACCACGCCTGGCTAATTTTTATATTTTTAGTAAAGACAGGGTTCCACCATGTTGACCAGGCTGGTCTCAGACTCCTGACCTCAGGTGATCCGCCTGCCTCAGCCTCCCAAAGTGCTGGGATTACAGGCATGAGCCACTGTGCCCAGCCTTTTTTTCTTTGTCTTTCTTTTTTAAGTTGGAGTTTCAGTCTGTCACCCAGGCTGGAGTCCAATGGCACCATCTCGGCTCACTGCAAGCTCCGCCTCCCAGGTTCAA